ATTAATTATTAAATTTAAAAATAATATTTTGGGCCATCACAGTAACTCATAGGGATTTTTGTCAACAAGAGATCTAGTCATGCCCCTATTTATGATGTAGCATGCAGTGTTCACAGCTTCTGCCCAGAAGCTACGAGGCAACTTACAAGTAACATGGTCCTAGCCATTTTCTCCAATGTCATATTCTTTCTTTCAACTACTCAATTTTGTTGTGGAGTACTAGGAGCAGAAAAATTATGATCTATGTCATGCTCATCACAAAATTCAGAAAATTTAGCATTCTCAAACTCAGTACCATGATCAGACCTAATTGATACAAGTTGATAACCTAGTTATTTTTGAGTTTTTCTAACAAATAAAGTGAACATGTCAAATACTTCATCTTTAGATGTTAAAAATAGTGTCCAAGTAAATCTAGAGTAATCATCAACAAGCACCAAAATATACCTCTTATCATATTTGCTTACTATACTCATTGGTCCACACATATCCATATGGACCAGTTCCATCGACCTGGTAGTACCTACCATTATTTTGCTTTTGAAAGAAGATCTTACATGCCTCCCTCTTGCACAAGCCTAAAAAACTTTGTCTTCTTTGAACTTAATGTTAAGCAACCATATCACCAAGTCTTTGGAGACTAGTTTGTTGAGTTGACTAAGAGTCTTAGACTAGCATGTCCAAGTCTCTTATGCCAAATGAGGGGATCACCGTCCATGATATTCAATCAAGTGAGTTCATTTTCTAAAAGTGTGGACAGATCTATCACATATATATTGTTCACTCTTTTACCTGCAAAACTATTTTGTTAGTGGTAAGATTAATCACAAAATATTTTGTAGAGGTGAAAGCTACCATGTTTCCTCTATCACACAGTTGTGAGATACTTATCAAGCTATATTTCAACAATCTATCAGGTAGACATTCTCAATTGAGTGAGAATATGATTTTCTTACCTTCCCAACTCCAATGATCTCACATTTCTCTCCATTTACAAAGAAGACATTACCACCTTTAAAGACCACAAGTGATAGGAACCTTTTTTTATTTCTTGTCATGTGTTTTGAGCAACCACTGTTCATATACCATACTTGGTTGCTCTCTCACACTTGGACCTGCAAAAGAAAATCAGAGGTTAGTATTGGGAATCCAAACTAGTTTGGGTCCCTTTCTTTGGGCAAAATGATAAATCTGATTTTTCTTTGCCCAACTTGGCAGTATATTCTTTTTTAGAACAAAGTTTTTGTTCCTTAGAGTTGCTTTATCTTTTTCTACACATTCACTCATATAGTGTCCAGTGTTACCATAGTGAGTGCAAATCTTATTCTCAAGGAGTGTTAGGTACTTATTTTGGGGATCCTGTTTAGGTGCAAAGTTCCCAAAGCCAAGTCCCTTTCTATTGCTACTATGGTGTTCTTGTAGCCATGAAAGATCATCAGAGGACTTGTTCTTTTTACATGTTCTATCAAGCTTATGTTTAACCTTTGTCAAGTCCTCTTTCAAAAATCTTACATTTTCTTCTTTTTGTACAGCTCATCTTTAACCTTCCTTAAGTATGTTGAGTTGTATATCACTGGCTATCTCTTTTCATGCCCCTAACTTTAACTTTATATTTTCAGATCTAAGTTCTAAGTCAGTTGTATCAAGTGCATGAACCTGGTTCTTCAAAACAATATTTTCCTTTTTAGTTTTACAAGCGTTTATTTCCAGGTTTTTGCATTCTACTTTTAAAAAGTTATACTCTTTTGAGACTATTCTTTTTTACAACTTATATTCTTGGATTGATCAATTAAAGTTAGCAACAATTCTAATAGTCTATCTGTATAAAGGAATTTAATTTTATCCTTAAGATCCAAAAAAACGTATCTCAGATTCTTCATCAGGTTCATCTTCAGATTCTCGAATTGCTATTAGAGCTCGTTCATCATCATCATCATCATCATTATCATCATCATCATCATCATCATCATCGTCATCATCATCATTGTCCTCGTCTAAATTGTCTTTTCAAGCGGTAATCATTGCTTTGGATGGCCCTTTGTTGTAGCTCTTCTTATCATAAACTTGTTCCTTCTTTATGTTTCTTCTTTTAGATCTCTTCTTTTTCCATTCGATTTCCCACATAGGACAGTTATTAATCATATGGTTTTTTTACCGCATTTGAAGCATCCATCAGTCATCTGCAAGTGATCTCTTCTCCTCTCCTTCCACAAAGAATAGAATTGATCATTGGATAGTGGTGGCCTAGTGGTAGATTTTTCTTCCCAATTTTCAGGTGGTCCACTTATCTTGATCTTTTCCTTAGGTGTTAGCCTCTTCAAGGATAACCCGTTCTGATACCAATGACATTTTATACTTCAAATACCACACAAGAGGGGGGGGTGATTTGTGTGGTGTCCAATTTTTGCGTGCACTAATTTTAGGAGCTAGTTATTTTATGCGTTCCTTACACTATAGCTGTGGAATAAATAATACAGAAAGTAAAAAACACAATGATTTTTATATGGAAAATACCCAGCTCAAAAGGTGAAAAACCCGCGACCTACTACCCAGTAGGATTTTTTTTAAATACTTTACTATAACTCTGAACCAACAACAAAGTTTACAAACTCTTGCAAACCTAAGTATTAACTCTAACCCTTGTAGAAACACACCACAAGTTGTTGCGACTACTTCAAGTTAACTATAACTTGAAAGATACAACTTGAGTTTACAACCTCTTGCAAACCTAAGGATTAACTCTAACTTGAATGGTATAACTCAGGTACCTAGTACAATTTGCTTCTAAGAAAGCTGAAAGGTACAACTCTTGAATCTCACAGGAATTGCTCACAAAATACCTTGCTATTTTGCTCTCAATTCTTGCTTTTACTTTAGTACTTGTGCGTCATCGGTAAAAGAGAACACAACTGATATTTATAGAGTTAGTAGAATAAGGGTTAACTAGAGTTCTAATGCTTTAGTCTTCCTTGGTAGAAGAGTTCTAGTTATCTTTAACTTCTAACTCCTTCCTTATCTTTGATAGAATTTTCTTCAAGTAATGAGTGCTGCTCCTTATCAAGTATGTAATCTTTTCGTTCAGGGACTATCAGAAATAACCACTTATACTTATCCCTTGCACGTGCATGTCTTTTGCTTGATTCTGACCGTAACATGTGTACAATGTCCACGAATCAGGTTCATGCATGTGTTCCTTTGTCAATCATAAAAAGCAAAATCGCTCAGGTCAATATATATAAATATAAATATATAAATATAAATATATAAATATTAGGAATCACAGTTCTTGTAGGTAAAAAGTATTTTCAAATTTGTTTGAAAATTTATAATTAGAGGAAGAGATACTTGCTTAAATAATAATAACAACAACAACAACAATAATAATAATAATGATAATAATAATAGTGTCATATAAAATGAAGCAGAGATAAAGTATATGGTACATATACAAAATTCTAAATTCGTATACAAGTTTCAATAGTTAGAATATTGAAAAGCAATCTTAGGTGTTATTTTCCTTTATTCAAAAGCTTTACCTTTTCAAGAAGAGGAAAAAAATAACCATTTGAAAACCAAAAGAAGTTCAGAAATATTAAAGTGATGCGGAAAATGCACGTGGATATAGCTATTAAAGTGCTTTCAAGAAGAAAAAAATTCAAAAAAGAAGAAAAGAAAGAATCACCAAGTTTTTTTTTTTCAAGTTGATTGGAAGAAATAAAGTTATGAGCGAAACAACTCGATTACTTTAGATAATCAAACGCTAAGTTGATTTTGGTACCATCTCCACCTTTTTGCCTTTAACACGAAGTTATGAACACTATCTTTTTGCTACCTAATTACAATAAGAGCAACAAAAAAATGTTATTACTTTGCTGTTATTTAAACTAATATTTAATATTTATTATCAGCAACAATATTCAAATTTTAATATATCCATTTTACACAATGTATAGAAGTTATCTATGTTACATATTGAGACTTTGTGTGTGTGATATCAAATATCAAATACTTGTCAAAATGTGTTAATTTTGTTTGATTGGACAAAGATTGAACAAACAATTTAGCATTTCTTTTTTTGATATAAACTTATTAATTTGGCGCACACTGATGATTTAAGTTATTATCCCTTCCGATACTAAATTTTCACACACATGTATAGCTCTCTTCTCTCTCACTCACAGATGAACTAACTTCTTAAATAAGATTGATTAATTATAACTTATTTCAACGTTTTAGTCAAAATTAGTCAAAACATGATCCGTTAAAGGAAGTTGATACACTTGATTATAATTAAGTTTATAGCAGTGCTACTTCCATCCTACTCAAGGGAAGTACAAACAGCTCCAGCACAACATTTAACATTAAAGAACTAATCTAGCAAATACTCCACTAATCCACATTTATTTGAGCAGATTTCTCTTATTAATTGACAGTTATTTGACTCTTTTTTAGAGCTAAATTGAGTGAAAATAATTTACGCTCTCCAAGTTTATTTTAAAAATCAAACCCTTTTAACTATATGAATAATAGACGGTCTACCCCTTTTATCCTAAATAATATTTATTTTGTCCTTGACATTTCAATCCTCTATATGTAATATATTTTTATATTATACGAGTATGTGATATTTTCCCCTATTGGCAGTTAGTTTACTCATTTTGTGAGCTAAATGAGACCAAATTAGTTTAACTTTTTAAAAAACTAAAAACAAATATAGTTAGATATATACTAAGATATTATAAGTCGCAAATATTAACATCTCAAAAATCTTAAGAAGCTAAAAGTGCTGACTATTATGCACATATCGATGTCATCGGCGTGGAAAGGAAAAAAACAATTATAGCCCACATTAATTGGTGAAAAATTCTATATTTAGAAGGACTAATTATTTATAATAAAAAAATATGATATATATTTATTTTACCAAATTCAAATTATACACGTAAAGCTGGAAGGAAGGGAAAAAAGTGAAGACCAAAAGACAAAGGCAGCATTAATAAATAATACATAGAACGCAGAGAGAGAGAGAGAGAGAGAGCAACCGCTCCATTCCCTCATTCTTTCGCTTCAAGTCTTCACTACGAGTGTCTCAGATCACCTACTTTCTTTCTCTCTATATAAGTATATAATCAACTCCGTTACAATTGGCTTTTACCAGAAGAGGACGATTTCGTGATTTCGTCTTACGAGTTTGAATTTCTGTAAGTAATCATTTGGATTTGATTTCACTTAATTAGTCGTTTTTAGTTGTTCATTTGTTCTTTTGATTACTTCGTCAATGTAGTTTTTGCATCTGAATTTGAACTTTCACTTGACGATTTTCTACGATTGTGATTTCTCTGATTCCAAGCTTCAAATTAACTACTTACCACAACGCACGCATCCTGAATTTGAAATCAGTTGATGCACAGTCATATACATATGCGTGAGAGAGAGAGAGAGAGAGAGAGAGAGAGAGAGAGAGAGATCTAATTTCTATTTGTTGACTGTTTCTCTGTAAATAAGCACTGGCTTTGGTGTTCCTTGTTATTATGCTTTTATTTATAAAAAAAATATTTTTGTTGATTCCTTGTTTGATTGCTTGATCACTTTGTTGGAATTTTTGCATCTGATACTGGACTCATATTTACATTTTGCACTACAGCGATTTGTTTTATTCAAATTTATTTACATATGTGACGATAGAAAGTAGCTGATTATGTGTATCGCTGGTGTTAAGTAAAGCACTGGTTTAATGTACAAACTTATTTACATTTTAGACTAACGTGGTTCCTTTGATTCAAAAATTTCCTGGTGTTTTCTTGCTTAAAGCCTTAAAATACATATATGTGAAGATAAAAAGTAGGTAAATTATGCATATCGATGGTGTTAAGTAAAGCACTGGTTTTATGTACAAATTTATTTTGCACTCGGATAAGCTGGCAGTGAGACTGGTTAATTCTGATTTGGATCTATTAAGTTGAAGGCATGTACTATAAGAGGTAAATTTAGGATTTTATATTTATGGGTTCCTAAAGTGACGTCAAGTCTTCAACATAATGTACAATAATAACTGGGTTCGTAGTAAAATATTTATAGATATTTAGTGGATATTTTAATACATATATAAGGTTTGGGAAAAAGCTACTGGGTTCACGTGAACCCATAGGTTACACTGTAGATCCACCTCTGACTATAAGCACCTGTTTATGTTTTCTGTAGGCCATCCTTCCTCGTCCCTTTTTTCTCATTTTTCTCCTGTGTTGTTTTCTGTTTTGCCTTATTTAGTAGCTTATTACTTCTTCTCGTTTAAATCATGTGTATTGTACTACTATGATTGCAGGTGAAGAACAATGACGAACACACAACTAGTGGAGATTCAACCTCATGAGCTCAAGTTCACATGTAAGTACTTGAAACCTTGCATTTACTTCCTCACAAAACTAACATGGAACGAAAATTAGAATGAAAAGATGGGGTACGCTTGACATTTTCTGGCTAGTACTCTCGATGCCCTTCAATTGCATTGAGTACTAAAACTTTTAATCTAAATAAATGAAAGCATCACCATCTGCTAAACCCAAGAATACATGCTACTTAATTGAATCAATGTACCGAGTTGGCTTTGTTATGTACTACTATTCCGAGTGGTGGTGACTGCTTTTCGACTACATTAAGCTGAGGAAGCCTGTTGTGGTTGCATATTTTTCTTGCATTAATAGATGTGTGTCTCTTTCATTGCTTGTAATAGTTTTCAGTAGTACCGAAAAGGAAATTATTTAAGAGGTTGCTTAAATTTTTTTATGCCCTACTTGGGTTGAAAGATAAAAAAGGTAATTACTGGATGGTAATTATCTTATCTATCATTTATCACTATATGACTTTTAGCCAAATAAGAAATGTTCTTATAACACCTTCATGGTTCAAGAGGAAGACAGTTCAATAAAGAGTTAACCTTTTGAGACTTATTGGGATACATCAAAGATGTTTGCTTATTCTTGAGTTAGGCTTCATATGCATCTATTATATTGTTTTGGATTAAAGGATGTGCTTCTAACTCCTATCTTTGCTTTTAGTTGAGGTGAAGAAACAAAGTTCATGTGCAGTTCACCTAGCTAATATAACAGACCAATATGTAGCTTTCAAGGTATGGTAATTTTGTCGAAAAGGGATTCACATGAACTCCTTAGAAAATAAGATACATGCAAAGCTGTCCCTTATTGAGATTAAGAGAAAGGCCATCCAACTCTGTACTTTTTCTTTTACAGGTGAAGACCACATCACCTAAGAAATACTGTGTCCGGCCAAATATAGGTGTTATCAAACCAAAGTCGACATATGACTTCACAGGTATATAGAATTTCCTTTTCTAGTTTTTATTCGTTGACAACGATAAAGTCAATTATCCCTGCATTGCTAAGCATGCTTCCTTCAAGTGAGTAGTCATCTATGAGTTTGGGAGCAAAGATATTGCAGGAAAATAGATGTAGCTTCTGTTAGTGCTCCTGCTTACTGAATCATTTTAGTGATATAAACGTCAATGTGTGGAGAGCAGCAATACGTGAGAGGAAGTTTCATTCAACTAATTTTTCTCCTTTCAATGCTCATGCTTGATATTGGCAGTTTGAGGTTCTGGTGATTTGACCTATCGAGATGACTTTACAAAATATTGTCAAGTCAGATTTGACCCTGAATAGTAGTTATCTCATATTTGACCTCGAACACAAATACTCCATAGTAAAACTAGTCCAACCAAGCAAAAATTGTGTCGAACTTTGGCTCTACTGGTTGATTAAAACCCGGTCAAAACAACATTCTTCAGTTTCTAATCCTGACGTTATCTTGAGATGCAGTTACAATGCAAGCTCAGAGGACCCTTCCATCTGATATGCCATGCAAGGATAAATTTTTGATTCAGAGCACAGTTGTCCCTTTTGGAACTAATGAAGAAGAAATTACACCCAGCATGGTAAAACTTGCAATGCCTTATCTGAATCAACTATTTTATTTTCTCATTTTCATTTTGTGTTTTTTTGCCAGTTCAACAAAGACAATAGAAAATCTATTGAAGAGTGCAAATTAAGGGTTGTCCTGGTTAGTCCACCCAACTCTCCAGTTCTGCAGCCAGCTAATGGAGTTTCCAAGCAAGGTGCACCTATTGAGACTTCAATGCAACAGGAAAATTTTCCAAGTGGTGTTGAAAATCTTCCTCCAGCTCAAACTGTAAGTTGCATTATCATCACTTTTTACTCTCCTATATGGAAGTGCCTTCCAGGATTTCGGTATTTAATTATCTGATAAAAACCATAGAGGATGTCAACTAGTGAATTACTGGTTGGTCATGCCCTGCATATTTCCGTAACTTTTGGTCAGCTAATAAACTTTGGTGACGTTAATTTTTGGTGAGATTGGTCATTGTCATCAAGAGTAAAACATATTATCCTGAGACATTTCCTTTATTGAAACTGTGATAATCCAGTAGTAAAAGTTTTCTTCCCAAACACAGGTGGGTAAGAACAACAAGGATATTAAATTTGAGGAAGAAACAGAGGAGCCAAGATTGGGAAAAATTGTGGACTTAGGTTTGAACTTTGCAAAAAATACAGAGTCCGATACTGATGAGGTTGTTGAAACAATATGTCAAGTATGTGTAAAAGACGTTTATATAATGACAATTTTTTGAACTGTGACGATCTATTAGACAATTGCTTCTCAATGCAGGTGGTTGAGAACAGCAAGGGTGCAGATTTTGTTGCAGAAGAAGAGGAGCCAAACTTGGCAAAGACTGTGGAAGACGTCAAGTTGAATTCTCCTAAGAATCGGGAGTCCAATATCAATGAGGTTGTCAAATCAAGACATCTGAACATGGAGACAACAAAATTGACACTATCCAAAGATGTTGAGGAGGAGCTAAAGTCTGTGGAAGATGCCAAGTTGAATTCTCCTAAGAATGGGAAGTCCAATACCGATGAGCTTGTCAAACCAAGACATCTGAACATGGAGACAACAAAATTATCACTATCCAAAGATGTTGAGGAGCTTAAGTCTAAGATAAATTCACTGGATTCTCAGCTAATTGAGGTTAGTCTTTTTGTACTAGATTCTGGTACTTTACAATTTGAGTAATTGGTTATGCACTAACACCTCATCCTTCAATATCTATTGAACTGGTATTGACTTGTCAGAAAGCAACTGTTAAAGTAGCCTGCAGAAATCCAACCCCCCCCCCCCCCCCCCCCCCCCCCCCCCTCTTCCCCGGGTGCTGAATTAATAATGATCCTCTAGCAATCCTGTGGCCTAGCATTTCGTTATGAAACAAAGAGTTGGAACTTGATTAGAATTCTCTTACAGGCTGAATGCATAATTGCAAAGTTTAAAGAAGAGAAGCGAAGTACCATCAAAGACATGGAAACTTTGAAACAAGAATTGGTTAGTGACTCTCTACACCTTTCTCTCTTGCTTTGTACTCTTCCTGGTATATCTTGTGCTTTCCATCTAACAAAATATCTTCTTTAGCTAAAGTGACTTCATAATAAGCTGAAGTCCCATTGAAACAATCAGACTTTTTCTGTGCCGTTTCTTTATTATGAAGCGGAAATAGTTTCGCCTAATTCTTCTGCATACGAACGTGGGATCATATTGACCTCAAGGCTGTGTCTAACTTCTAAAATTTGAATCTATCATTTCTTACAGGCATTACTAAGGACGAAGAGTGTTGGAAGGAAAGCTCAAGTTGGTTTCCCGCCGTTATTCCTTTGCATGGTTGCGTTCATTTGTTTCACCATTGGGTATCTTCTACGTGCTTAACAAGGATTTTTTTTCTGTCTTTTTGCTATATTGTAACTGTTTAGGAACTTACTGTATCTTCAGCATATTAACATTGCCTCTTTTTTTAGCCGTCAACCTAACGAGCTAGTGAAAATGGTGGATGTATGTAGATGGAATTCATAATGAAAAAGAATCTTTCAATAAAGAATTACTAATAGTTATGTACCCTGAAAGCACCTTGCTGGAGCTGTCGAAATGTCAATTGGGTTGGTTTAATATTTCCTGCTCATTTCTTAACTTGGTATATCTTCAACCCATTAATAACTAGAAATACCTTGACATGCCCAAAAATGAATTTCTTTTTGTTTTCCACATGGTTAATCCGTCTGGTGTAGGAAAAGTTAAACTGGCAACAGTGACTGAAACTATATGAATTTGAACTTTTGATGTGTGATTCGAGTTGTGGCCTTTGGCCACTGCACAAAATCTCCTTGAGGATTTTCTTTTTTATACCCCGATTGGTCCGTCATCGATAAAAAAAGGCAGTAGCATATGAGAAATAAACACTTCTCCGAAAAGTTTTATCCATGTAATTCCAGTTTAACGATAGATAGTAAAAGTTGATAAACCCTTTCGCTAGCAGTCAACTGGAAATGATGTTGAACTGAGCACTAATTCAAAATCGTTAAGATCTCTACAGAGGAACACACACATTAAGTCCTATTTCAGCTCTCACGGTTTTTCTTTCCTCTGTCCTTCTCTGATCTTTTAAAATAGTAGAATTTAAAAAAATAAAATTAAAAAAAAATCTAACGAGAAAATTCATGTAAGTTGCCGGCCGAACATAGCACCAGACGGATATACAGTTTGCTGATTGTATTCTTAGATTGGTATATGCCAGAGATAATATAATTGTTCACTAGCTTTTCGAAGTCATTGTTGATTATTAAGCCATTGCAAGCCATCACTTCCATACCACCAAAAGTTGTGGTTTAGTAGTAAGTGCTCTTCCAGATATTTCAAATTTGAGCATCGAGTATGGCGTTGTTTACCCTCCACCATCGGACTTTTTGCTGCGAATCCAAATTTATAGAAAAATGGGTACCGAACACCGGATGACAAAGCTAAAAAAAAAATCACTTCCACAAAATACAATAAAAGTACGCTTGATCATGTTTTCGAGCTCTAGGTATGGAGTCGTCTTTGGAAGAAAGCGTTTTACCCAAAGTGGGACTTATTCGTGCGAATTCAGATCAATCACAAAGTAGGTATCAAACACCTACTGGGGAAACCAAAAAAAATTATTTCCTTAAAATACACTAAAATTACCGGGGTTGTGATAGAAAAAGATGTGGCACTTTCTAAAGGAGGAATCAGACTAGGTTCTAGAAGAGGAAGTGTAGCTGGCACGTTGAACCATGTCTGTCGATGGTGAAAGATAGCTTAAAGTGAGGGCTCCGAAAATAGTATTTCTCAACTGTCGATCGACGTGACAATCATGCCTCTTGACAGAGCTTTTTTCTTTTAACCTCCCAATAAACGAAAAAGAATTTCTGGTGACACAAAAGTTGTGCTCAGCGCTCTCTTTCCTATTCCACTGCGCTAAGTGGTCTTTTCCTTTCTTGCTGGATGACTACTATGGAAAAAGAAGGCGACTATTCCTAGTCTCTGGTCAATCCATATTGATGCTAGAAGAGTTATTCCCGCCGCCCACCCGAAAGAGACGAGGAAGACTAATCGTCGTCCTGCACAAACTTACCAAGGATTTCTCCATTCCCATGGCTCGAAATCGAGACCTTTGGTTAAAGGTCGAGCAACCTCATCCATTGCACGTCTTTAACTTGTGACTGAACACAACAAGTTATAACCTAAATAAACTTGCCCACATCCCGTGTCACATGTACATCAAACCAATAAATGCAAAACATGCAAGTATATATACACTATGATATGTATTATAACCCCCAATAGCAAATAAGAAAAACTAGAATTACTACACAGAATTTTGTTCTTCATCTGCCATGTCACTCTTTGGATTCTGCATTTATTTTTTTCATGTTCTTTGTGACGATCCGAAACCTCGAAATTAGATTTTTAAGGACAAAATGATAATTTGACTGAACCTGTAGGTTCGCGCCGTCATTTACGACTTTGTGGGGTGTCACATATCCTGCAGTCACCAGCCTGGCCCCCTTCCTCAAAAGTAGCTTGATGCCGAACCACTCCCAAGGCGAATAATGCCCTAGGGGCCGACCTGGCACCAACCGTCCGAGACTCTTCTCTGTTTACTGCTACCGATCATAAATAAGCAAGGACAAGGACTACTAGCTCAGGATAAAGAAGCTAAAGAAGAGAATCTTAAGCGCTTTACTAATAACATATATAGCTCTGACTTCTTGACCTATCATATAAACATGAACTATTGCAAGCATGTACAAACTTCGGAATTTCATCTAATCACGCCTCAATGTTTTTTCCAAATTGCAAGTAGTTCTTGCAAACGTGATCGTTTCTAGTCATTGAAAATGCTATCATGATCCTAGTCAGATGCACTTGGCTCAACTACTCTGCGAGTATTTCTTCTTCCTAAAATGCTTGTGTACTTAAGTGCTAAAATGGTATGAGGAAGAGATAGATCTCACGCACAGAATTGAGAACTTTTAAATTAAGCTAGAAAGATTTTTTTTTAAACAGTAGTGCACTGACGAAGGTCAACAGGAATTTGGTATCAGTCTCTTCTCCACAATGGGAACGTTACAACCATGTGAAATCTACATATCAAAAACAAATCTCTAACCTGTAGGAAATTTTACAAGATAATTAAGCTAACTATGCCACAAAGCCTACAGAATATAGACCTATTTGGTGTTTTGATAAATTATCAAAAAAGAAAAAATTGTAAGGGAGAAAACCTCTAGGAATTCCCCACAGAAATTGTCAGCAATGACCAAAAGCGAGAACTGAGATGAAAACATGATCACCAAAATGAATATACTTATTTGCAACCTATAAACTAGACAACCCCTTTTTAACCACATGAAAACACTCAAAAGATATTGACATAAAACAAAACCTCAAACCCAAAAAGCTTGCCACCTTCCCTCTCCAAGGCCGAAACGTACAATCTGCATCTCCATCAGTGCGATTAATGATCACTTGGTTCAGTCGGTGATCCTGGAACAAAAGGTACAAAACCTCGTCCACCGAAAACGGGACGCATGAATGCATTGTCAAATTTTCTCCAGTAACGATGCACAGTGTGAGATGGGGTTGATAGGAGCATCCGCAAACTGTTGGGACGGGGTATATGTTGGCCCAGATCAGCTTCTGAGTCTTGTGCACTGTCAAGGAGTGGCACAATGAAGGATTTTGGGGTCGTTGGTTCAGAAGAGATCATTCTGGTCAAGTGTTTTGGTGAGGGTAGCATAAATCTAATTAAAGGTTTTGTCATCAACCCAAACACCTGTAAAGGCCAAAAACAGTACGTTAAAAATCCTTCTAAATGTTTCGCTTTTCCTCGGTATTTCTTTTTTTTTTTCCACGAAATGTTTCTAGTTGAAAGAATGAGATCCTAGAGAAGTCATTGCTTGGGTTGGATGAATCATTTGAATCAGGGAAAGCAGTTATTCTCCACAAAATGTTTAACATCTGGTAAACTAAAACCATTTATGGTATAAATCACTCTATGCTGCTACAGATTGCCACACAGGCTATGGTTCCAAGCCTATATCCTAGACGCATAACCCGTCAAACCCATGAATTGTAGCAGGAAAACACGGGTTAGAAAGTATCAGACAAGTGCTAGAGGAATGTTACCACTCTGTTTGGTTCAAATTTTTGTTTGAAAGCATGTCATTTAAGTCCCAGAAAAAATTTGTGATGCAGTTTCTTATTGGGACCGTGAAGGCGCACATTTTGGTGTAAATGTTGCCACTCTGATTGGTTCAAAATTTTGTTTGAAAGCATGTCATTGAAGTCCCAGAAATATTTGTGATGCTCAGTTTCTTATTGGGACCGTGAAGGCGCACCTTTTGGTGTATGTTTCACTACTTCATGCATGTCAAATGTATACAGAAAGTTAAGATATCTTACCCCTGTGCTGAAAAGGACAACAGTGATGGTACTCGTGATCATTATTGCATTACCACGTAACTGAGTATGACCTCCTCTGGTAAACTGCAAGCATAATTAAGTAATCAGTCAGAAAATTGTCTTAATACTATATGCAACGTGAAAAGAGAACCACCAAATTTGATACCAGAGTTATATCAGATGCTAGTATTTTACCTGATTATAAGCCAGAGCCACTGAAACAGCACCTCGCATAAGTCCAGCCCACCATATTACAATCTGCAAAATCAGCAAAGGGATAAAATGAGAGGCCATATGACTTGAGGGGCTTAGCGTAACAACAGTTATTAACACATACTTGCTTGTTAAAGCCAATCTTCTCCTCTGGAGACTTCTTGGTCAAGTTGGACAAAAATGACAAGGGGAAAACAAAGGCTGCCCTTCCAACCATAACAAGACCCAACAGTATTGAGCTAACTTGAACTGATATTCCAGGACTGCAAATAAATTGAAAAAAAAAAAAAAAAACATCAATCATGTTTAAAGCTTTCGCCACTTACATTAATCAATAGTATATGATGAACTTCAATGACATAGAAACTTCACCTGTCGCTTACAAATTTCCACTTCTCAATGTCTAAAGCATCCATACCAACATAAAGGAATATGAATATCTCAGCAATAAATGACAATGTAGCAAAAGCGTGCCTGGGAAACAGTTGAAGAGAATATGTTAGAATTCAACCATCTTATGCAAAAAGAGGAGCAATTGAATACACTCCATCAATATGGTTCTAAAGGCTGTATGACATACTTGGTGGTCACTCTTGAGCTCTCAGTCACATTATGCCAGGTGTAGTGAGACATCACGATGCCACAGAAAAACACAGTGAGGATTGCACTTAAATAGAATAACTGCAATCAATGTAGCTTCAGACTTTCAGTATACTATATAACCATATCTAAAATAAACATCTCCAAGAAAGGAAGTGATTCGATTTTCTTATAGAAAGAGAAAAAGGTTAGCAAGCCACTTAGTCAAGAAACTTACTTCAGCAAGCAGGTATGATAGATAAGCCATGAGTATCATTATAGCAACCTCACGATCAGTGGAGTGCCTGGAGTTCATCAAGAAGTCATCAAAGCCCATTATG